TGAAGAAGCCAACAACGCCCAACTCATACCCACACCCTCACCCTCAAATTATATCTGAAATTACATTTAAATACAATAGGTCTTTCTAATCTTAAAAATAACTATTCCCTCACACATATCACTTTTTATTTTTATAAAGATTAAAATTTTATAGTTGATAAATACGGATCTTAAAACTACCCACTCCTACTGTTATTCATAAATATTTCACTCTTTGAAAATATACCAAATACCAGCTGAATCTTAACTTTATCACATGATGATGTATGCATTTTTTAATTACATTTTTATTGTATTCTGCGCAGAATAGAATCAAAACGATTAGAAGAAATACAATCGATATCAAATTTGCACTTATCGACATGTGAATAGATGCATCTGTTATATTTCAATTGTATTGACTTAAGATATTATCTGTATCTTAGATATAAAAACACATATTTTTTCATTATATTCTTTTGTTTTAAAATTAACTATGAATACAATCAATATCTACTGCTGCATCATTTTCATTCTTTTCAGGTAAATAATTATTGATTTTTATTATTCATTTTGTTAACATTCATTAGTTTTCTATTTTAGTATAACAGGTTTGATTTCTATTCTATTTTATACGTTTATATGTATTAGTTTATCACTTTCATAGTTCAAAACAAATCTCAAATATGTAAGAACACACCTCAATATGGTGAATGTTCAACAAACAGTGCATGTGGATTCTTTCATATAATAGGTGCTAATAATAATACAGGCATTTGTGGTTTTCGCTGGCCAACATGTTCCCGTCTTGTACTGTGTAATTCATCAGACTATTCATGTTCTCAACCTAATACGACGTGTGTTCAACATCCACAATGTAATAATCTTCCTGTTTGCTATCCAGTTACAATGACTGATCAAAGAATCTGTCCACCAATGAAAAGTGAGTGGATCAATGGATGATAGATGCAACATTCTTATCCATACTCTCGAGATCTTTGAAACTATAAATTTCATCTGTTTTAGACAAGACCAATCTTAAATGGAAACAAAATGCTATCACTGTGGCTGGTGGAAATGGAGAAGGACCAAAATTAGATCAACTCAGTAGCCCTGATGGAATCTTTATTGATAAAAAGAAAAATATTTTCATTGCTGATCACGGCAATCATCGTATTGTTGAATGGAAATACAATGCAAAAGAAGGACAAATCATTGCAGGTGGAAATGGCAATGGAAATCAAATGGATCAATTGTATTATCCAATAGATGTGATTGTTGACCAACAAAATCATTCAATCATCATTGCTGATCCTGGGAATAGACGTGTGATTCAATAGTTGAATCAAACTCAACAGATTCTCATTGACAATATTGACTGTTGGGGTTTAGCAATGGATAAACATGGATTTCTTTATGTTTCTGATGGTGCGAAGAATGAACTGAGACGATGGAAAATGGGAGAATATAACAATGAAGGAATTGTAGTGGCAGGTGGAAATGGCAGAGGAGAGCAACTCAATCAACTCCATAATCCTCGCTTTATTTTTGTTGATGAAGAACAAACTGTTTATGTATCAGATGAGAACAATCATCGTGTGATGAAATGGAGAAAAGATGCAAAAGAAGGAACAATTGTGGCTGGAGGAAATGGTCAAGGAGAAAACCTCAACCAATTGTTTTATCCTCAAGGAGTCATTATTGATGATTTGGGTCAAATATATGTGGCAGATTGTTATAATCATTGAATAATGCGTTGGTATGAAGGAAAAGGAGAAGGTGAAGTTGTTGTTGGTGGAAATGGTCAAGGAAATCAACCAAATCAATTGTATCGTCCCGTAGGTTTATCTTTTGATGACGAAGGAAATCTTTATGTTGCTGATCATTGGAATAATCAAATTCAAAAATTTGAAATAATTTTGTGAATGAAGTTTTGATTTTGAAAGGAAGGGTGTGGGTGTGGGTACTGTGTTTTATTCTCACCGTGACGAATATCCACACGCAAACCCAAGTTTTTTTTATTCTTATTTTATTCTTTCCTCTTTACCTTTTCTCTTCTCTTCTTTGTCATTCGATTCATTTTTGCTCGATTACATTATGAAATACGGTATCATCGTTAGTTGCTTTCTCTTGTAGTTTATTATTTTTGTGAAAGTGCACTTTGTAAATGCCTAAATATATCTTTCAAATAAACAGCACAATCAAAAAAAAATAACGAAGACTATTATGTAGAACTATCTTCTACCTATAGAACAATATAACATTCGACTTTAACCATAGTAATGGGAAAAAAATCTTTAAAAACTGTTTCGCTTATAATTTTCATTGAAATGCCTGGAACACACCTGGGAACCTTCCCTTGTTAGATCATCTAGTATATAAGGTATAATATACTAGATGTAATTGTAAAGGAAAAAAATCAGAACAAAGATTGTGTTATTTGACTTAAGGGCCACCCGATATATCTTCCATAAATTTTTCTTTTTATGAATATAATCAATTTTTCTAGTGCCTATTGAAATATTCTATTATACTTTTATCTAAAACAAAGATAATAAAATACAGCTGTATTTTTTGTCATGATTTTTTCTGCTTCATTACAAAACTTATTAAATGTATTTTTTCCCTCGTATTATTCTAATTACTTGTTAAAATAATTTTTTTTATTTTCCATAGATTTTCTTTTCAGCGTTCTATCTCTCTGTCTCTCTGTGTTCTATTATTTATTCTATCTACATTTTTCTGGAACATTCACTAATGCTCATTTAAATGTTTATTTTTTAAGAAGTGAAAAGTTGAGAGAGATTTTTTTTTTTCTTCACTGATATTACGCCTTAACATTTTCTACTGTAAACCTCTCGTATTGATAATAAGGTAAGTCGATATTATTATAAAGGATAAGATATTTATATCAAGAAACCGAATGAATATTGGCTGTTTTTGTATATTATCTGTTAATTATACCTAGCTTCAAGTAGACAAGCACTGCTGTTTTTGTTTTCTTTTATCTTACTCAGTTATGTAAATGGTAACTGTCCTTCCTTTTGATAAAACTATTTGAATCTTGAGCTAAAAAACTCGATACTAATGTCCATACATGATTTTTATAGTGATTTAGAATAAATATTAAATGATTTATGTTCTATTGTACGTGCCAGTATTGAAGTAGAATTTCTACTCAAAGCCTTTTCTCCCAGTCAAATCTACGCATTTTCTTGGTAATTAGAAATATTCTTGAAAGTAAATGACGGATATTATTATAACAGAAGCATTCGAGCGGACTATTAAAATAAAACAATTTACTTACTAACTCAAATGAACAAACACAACATATTCAGAAATAATTGAATTCAATGATGATCATCACATTGTGCATAACTAGGTATCCATGAGAAAAGGATCTTTTTCTTTATGAAAATTTTTTTAATTAAATTTTTCAGCAAAATACAATGCAATCTAAAGTATTCTTTGTAGAAGAGAATCACAACTTTGATTAATAATGTTTGATAGTCCATTTCATTTTTGATAAGTATCTTTCCTCACATCTACATTCTGTTTCGGTTTTAGATAATAGGCTTGTATTAAGAATGAGAATCAGAAATTTTATTTCATGGTTTCATGATTATGTACACACGTACAATCTGTTTATACCAGACGAAGATGATTATGAAGATGATGATGATAATTCAATAGATCCAACAATACGTGTCAAGCAACAAAAACATTCTACATGGCTCTACATTTTCCTTTTCATTAGTAAGTCAATAAGAATAATTTGTTTCTTAATAGAAATAAAATGGAAGCACATAATATCACCTAAATAATAGTATAATGCTTTTTGTTTTGTCATCTTTTGTTTCTAGTTTCTCTCTACGTGTTGTTCTTCATCGCATTGTTAAGTCCAACAAGTCGCACCGTTACCATTTCAAATCTAACTCCATCACTCTTTGATCAACTTCATCATGAACATGGTGAAACACTCTCATGTCCATGTTCAACTATTACCATACCTTATAGCACTTTCGTTACAAATATGGTCTCATTTCATCCTGTATGTTCGAGCGTTTTTGTTAGTAGAGAATGGATTGAAGGATTTTATCTACCAGCAGCCAATGCATATTTATTGGCGGATTTTCGAACAACAGCATTTTCTCAGGTGAGTTCAAAACATATCTTCAATTTATATTTAAAGAAAAAAATTGATGAAAGCAAACTATTACGATAAAATAAAGATCAGTGAAGACGAACACATGAAATCTCAGTTTTTGTATAGTCGTATGATATTATTCGTTGCATTTAAGATACTAATACGTTCTACGGAGTGACTAAATTTAATTGAAAAGTAATTGTTTAATCGTAAAAGTCAATCGCGATGCTTTGTATAGTTATCATCACACCCACACCTCATTATATGAAATCTATTGTTCTGTTTCTAGTTCGAATTGTTAGCTGCTCTTTGTTCAATCTCGAATGATATCGTTTCAAAAGCACTATTAGATATTCAGAATAATCAGCTTGTTACAGTTGAACTTCTCGAAGAAGAAGATATTCAATTACAAGTAGACGCCATGGTTGAACTTGTTCAAGCAACAGCATATGTTCAACTTACTTCATTTTTACAATTTGTCCAAATGATGTATCGTTCTAATACTCTCGTGTCTGCTTTTGGGACGAATGCATTTGTTCAAATAGGCACTTATGGACTATCTATCACTCCTACGTATCAAATTAATCCAAACAAAAGTATTGGTCTCGCATTAAACGCTTTAAGTTGCAGTGAAAAGACCATGGTGACTCCAGCTGTTTTCTATCTTCAACCATTAGATACGGCCGTGTTTGATCATACAAATTGGCCTGTTTACTCTGCTCTCGGTATTGCTTATTCAAATCATTCTGCAAGCGCCGACGGATTCTTTGGAGGATGTTTTCCTCTGGATGCTGTTCTAGCAAGTACACTTGATTGTTTGTACAACTTTCAATGTCTAGAAATTTTATTCGATTATTTTCCAGCTCTCAATCAAGTATAAGGTGTTTAATTTTGATATATATCTAAGTAATTCTATTCTTCTAGTCAAACTTCAAATTGATCGATCTTCCTTTATCTTCTAATCGACGAAATATTCCTGTAAACGATCTTGTCTCTTCTCTATTTATTGATCAATGGTCCAACAAAACTAACTACACGAACTATTTTAATCAATGTGCACCTTTAGTGTGTACATATTCTACCATAGATTCAACCAATTTATCGTCTATCCTGTCTCTTCTAATCAGTCTCTATGGCGGTTTGACTGCTATTCTTCGGTTAATTGCACCTTTGCTGATCAAGATTATATGGAAAATTCGACAGCGTTCAATAAAAATTACTATTAACTATGGTATGTTTTGTTGATAATAAAAATAATATTAATCGATAAAAATGATTCATATTTTTCTAAATTCTAGAGTATTGTTTATCATCTATTCGTGACTTAACTCGATGGATGAAACAGTTGAACATATTCAAATCAGCTGCGAATAGAACAGTGGATGATATCAGACAACAGCGTATCAGCACATATTGTTTTCTCATTTTATTCGCAGGTACATATCTTCATTTAAAACTTGTGTGACCTACTCAGTGAAATGATGATTTTCAGAAAAATCATATATATTCTGCCAGAGGAGACCTTGATGCACCTTTTTATAAAAGAATTTTCGATTAGCAATCATCGGCAGTCAAAGCATTTCCCTCCTTGCATTCATGTAGTCTTATCTAGACCTAAGTTTTTTTTCTTCATTCTAGGTTCTATTCTTTGTCTTCTTCTTTTTAATTCACTCAAAAGTCAAACAGTTACAATCATTGAAAAAAATCCATCGTTAACTAAATACAATCAGTTACAAATCTTATATCCAGATACACTTACATGTCCTTGTGCAAATACTACAATGCCTTATGAGACATTTGTTTCATTATCTCCCATTTTTCATCAAGTATGCTCAAGTAATTTAATTAACGAATCATGGATTTCACTACTATCGAGTAGCGATGTGGCGGATGTAAAGGGTGGTTCATGGATTGGTAAAGCTGCTCAGTACTTTGGATTACTATCCAGTATTTGTCAACTAGCTAGTTTGACAGCTACCGATAATATTCATAATTTTTTTGCACGCACTTTTGTTACTTCCTATGTGCTTATCGAAACAGACTTCAATATTCAAGTAAATACAACTGTCAAGCAACTGACTGAATCAATTGTGATCAGTTTTAATCTTTTCAATAGTATGACACGTCTTTTCATGCAGGCGGATCAGCCAATAATAATATTACCAAATTCTCAAGTAATATCAAATTATATAAATACTACAGCCGGTACTAGTAATCCAGAAGCACTACACGTATGTTTATATTCAAAGAATTCTCATATTTCTTTTTCTCCTTTAATTATGCACTAGAAGAATAAAAGGATGACTTTCAATACACATATATTCTACCAAACTATCTCTTATCTTTTAAGTTTCTATTAAATTTACGAATCTCTCGTAACATACATCTTTCTGTAAGATGATTTCAACTGGTATATTCACAGCTAGAGTCAGGAAGATTCAACTATTCGAATGAGGTTCATCTTAGATAAAGGAAGCTACATTATGAGTTTGCCTGGCGTGCTGAAAATCGTGATTGATGTCTGACTTCTCTTGTATTAAAAAAGTGTCATTATAACTTATTATTCTTAGCAGAAATATTTTAATTTCTTTTAGTCAATATAATTTAAATTAAGAATAAGTTTAAGTTTATATCCAGATCTTTTGAAGCTTAAGTTCTGAGTCTTATTTAATGAAATTTTAATTCTTTTTTGTTTATTTAGTTTAAATTTCGTTTCAATACTATCACAAAGGACATTTCGGTTCCGGACGGCCCAATATGCCAATGTGTTGTTGATCCCAATTGTCAAGGACCAATCGATTTCGCAATTCAGAATGCAATTGGTATTTTACGATTACCTGGTCTTCATCCTATATATGTCGCTAGTGATTACAAGGCACCTGGGTTAGTTGATGGATGTTATACTGTTGATTTACTTCTTTTATCAACACTCCAATGTTTCTATGCAGATTCCGATTGTATGAATCAGCTTTTGTATCATATAAATACAACATATGTGTCGCCTACACCTGATCCCAATTCGTATGCACATCCATTAATATATAACCAAACATCAACTCGTTTTCCTCCAAATACTTCAGTTTCATCGATAGTTGAAGAAATGATGATTGAACAATGGAATACATCATTATCATTTTCTAATTATTATAAAGCATGTGCACCAACTTATTGTACTTATACTCAAATAAAACATGCAGAAACTTTTAGCAAACTGTTAGTAACAATGATTTCTACAGTTGGTGGTCTTGCTATGGCATTACGACTAATTACATTCCAATTCGTCAAGATTGTTTTTAGTTTATTTCAAAAGAAAACGAAGAAACAACAACAAGGTAATTAATAATAACATATAAAATTCATCTTATTTTCATTGTAGTTCGTCGAAAATTACTTGATCGATTTAAGGTGTTATTATCTAAACTAATAACATTTTTATCTATAAAAGTGTTGAATTTAAATATATTTCCTGCACGAACATTCGGAAGTAAGATCGACCGAATCTTGGTGAAACATCTTGGTCAATGGTCAACTCGTCTTTATCTTATTCTTCTAAGCATTACTTTTGTTATTTTAACTCTTTATACACTTATTCAACCACAAACATTGACCAAATCCTTTCCAACACCATCATTAAATTTCTATCAGAATCTAATGAATGATCATAGTGATGAACTTGAATGTCCATGTTCATTGATTTCATCTCCATATGATGGATATGTTCAAATTCAACCGATATTTCATCAGGTAAGAAAGATTTTCTTTGATTTTGTTATATTATTTTTCTCATAGATTTGTTCAAGTGATTTGATTTCAAATGAATGGAGATTAAATATCACAGCAAATTTAATTTCTAATTTGTCTGCTTATAATCAAAGAGATTATCGTCTATTTCTCTCTACTCACTTACAACTTTTAAATGGATTATGCCAACTCTCCATGCAAACAGTAAATCAATCTATTCAACAATCTTTATCTTCACTGATGGTTACTAAACAATTGCTATCAGAAGAGAATTTTAATTTACATATTAATTCAATGATTAATGAAGCAAAATTCAATGCTCCTTCAACATTCATTCGTCTACTTTCGTTACTTCGAGCTACAAATCATGGAAATGCAATTGTCTCATCGTATGGAACTAATTATCAATACAAAGCTTCTGTTTATGATTTACGTCAGACTACTTTATATACTCAAGCGATGATATATGATGATAATTGTTCATGTCAGTTAAATTCTACTTGTATTATTAATGCTTCGTTTATCGAAATAAATTCGATACAATCTATAACGATTAAAGGTTTGAAAATGGGTTGTACACCGAGTGAATCATTGTTGGCATCAACTCTTGAATGTTTTTATGATCAATCATGTATTAATCTTATTCAAACAATGACAGGATACAACAAAAATATCACTCCGATTCCTCTCAACATAACCAATAGTCGATTTCTAATGAATATGACTGTGATGAATCTTATCAACGATCTATTTGTTGAAAAATGGTCAGCAATACTGAATTATTCATCATATTTTTATAAATGTTCACCAATGATCTGTTCATATACATATATTCAACAATTGAATTCTTTCTATACATTGACTTATTTTCTTGGTTTATATGGTGGTTTAACTATCGTTCTCAAATGGATCTCTCCGAAAATTGTTTATTTGGTGAACAAAACTTACCAACGTCGAAAGAAAACAACCAATTCAATCAAACCAATACCTGCTATTGAAAGTGTAGCTATTGAGAGCAACATTGAAATAATCGACGCAAATAATATCAGTGATACTACTGCTTCTTCACAATCGTTACAGACAGTATCAACACATTCGTATGTCTCCTTTTCTTTTTTCTGTAGTATATTAATACGTAATGTTTTATCTTCATAGGAAAAGTTTATTTTCAGTATCATCACATTATTGGATCTTTGGTTTAATAGGATTTATACTTGTGACAATAGGCATTCTGGTTCCATTTATTTATGTTCTTCAAGAAAGAAAGAACCGTTCCGCATCAGCAGGTATGATATTCTTAATGATTCTCATCATCGAGTAATACGAGTCATAGATATAGTCAGAGACTAAGATATATGAGAGTATTTGCTCATTCTTCATTGAATTTGGTCTAACTAGTAAAATTTATTCTGGTATAAAACTTTTTCTATGTCTAAATGGACGAATACTTGAAATAATAAGTTAACGAGAGAAGATCTGATTTTCGTGCAAAGATTTATTTAGTTAGCATATCGTATGTTAAATCTATCTGATATTTAAGTTAAACAGAAATGTATTTCTTGTTAATTTCAATTTTGTCTTTTTTAGAATAAACAAAATCAATCGATCGAACAATTTCAAAGATATAAACATTTTATTCATTATATTTTTTTTTTCAATTCTTTGGATGTATCTTTAAAGCTTTATCATTATACAATTATCATTTTATTGCATTATTTATTTTTTAAATATTGTTTTCTGCTTCATGTAATTTGTTCTCAATAAATGCTTGTTCACTATTTCAAACATTATCTATTTAATATTTTGATATTTCCAAGAAAAAATACTAAAAATTATTATATTGACAGACTCATTTTATCAGTACTATATTGAATCATTGATTGATACCATCTTGAGGGTGTGGGTGTGGATGTGAATATTTTATAAATATGATACCCACACCCACACCCACACCCACACCATTATGACGAGTATTATATGCTTGAGTTTGTGTGAAATATATAGTTACGTTATTATCATGATGTTTTAATTTGAGCATTCGAAAGAGTTTTACACGATAAACACTACTAGAAAGAGTATAAAGAAAAAAAGGAACAAAATAATCACATTGTTGCCAAGTGACAAAAGCCAATCGTAAACCTATTATGAATGGTGTTCGAGATAATGGCATAAATGTATTCAGTAAATATACAATACCAAATGGGAGTGCAAAAATCATATGAACACCAATTTGAATTATTAACATTCGAGCCAATTGAGTTTCTGTTCGACGATTTTGATTATTACCTCCTATGGGTCTTACTCGAATAAGTTGTTGTCGAATATTAGTTATGGTCAAAATACCAAATACAGCCATGCTTATTGGTACTAAAATACAATAAACAATAATCTGACCAAAAGTAAATATAGCAGTTAACAGATTAGAATATTGTGTACATAGATGTATAGTTGAATTAAAATCATAGATAAATATCATTGGTGACATGCATAGTGCGCATAAAAATGAACTCAATATAATTGACCATCGTGCTACTCGTATATTACTCATTGAACGAAGTTTTACTGACATGGAACTTGAACAAAAACGATCGAACGAAGCTAAGATAAGCATAAGACTAGCTTGTAGAGGTAAACCAAATAAAAGAAAAGGATTTAATTTGCAACCAACAGTTGTATTTATCCATAAAATATTATATCGTCGTAAACTTTGTGTTGGACATAAAAAGCAAGTATAAAGAATACTTGAAACTGAAAAACTAATAAAATAATGACTACAAGGTGATGATCGAAGTGTACGATCACGTAATATACATATATTTAAAATATTTGTTATCATAGTAAGAATAAAAAGAATTGGTTGAACATAAATATTTGTTTGATCTACTCGTTCGGTAAGAGTACTCATATTAAAAGTTTTCTAAGATAATAAATGAGAATATATATTACATTATATGCACTTGCATGTGAAATTAATTCATTAAAGAAAATACTTCTTACGGTTATCTTCTTTTTGTAATGCGCAAAATTAAGAAAAACTAACTTCTAATTTTAATATATATTCTTTTTTGAGAATATACAAAGTCTAAAAGTAATAAATGTGTCACACATGAAATAAATTATTGAAAGATTCATCTATACCTTCATTCTTGCTGGGAGGAAAAATATTTAATAGTTGATATGAGTTTTGTGGACAAGAGATAAATTTAGAAACAATTAAAATGAAAAATGAATTTAAGATTATCCGCTCGCTGAATTCTATTAAAAAGCTGTTAGCGCAATCCCAGGCGGGATTAAAATGTAAAACATGATCTAACTGTTTTTTTTACCTTCAAGAAGATAATTTAATTGTATCACTATGAACCGGTTTTTACCTCATCCTGTGGAATAAAAATATAAAAATATCAGAAAGAAGTAATTTACATAGGGGTGGGTGTGGGTGTGGGTGTGGGTATTGACTTCATCATTATCAACACTCACAACCACACCCTCAAGATGCTTAAGATGAATCAACTATTGTTGAACCTATACTACGACAGATAAAAAAGTTCAAACAACTATATTGTCAACAATATAATCTTTAGCTTTGTATCAGTAGACTATAAAAAAATTAATATATTCGTCCGCAATTCAGTTCGACATGTAATAAACAAATAGCAAAACAGTTGTTTTCCCGATGTCAGCGGAGGAAATATCTTCGTCTGGTCGATACTAATAAATATACGGCATATAACTGAACAGTAAAAGAAGAAAAGTCAATCGATATTTCGTAGGTATGGATGGTAAAACAGTTCATTTGCTTGATTTACCTGATGAAATATTACTTATTGTTTTGAAAAAACTTGATTCTGTTGATGTTCTTTATTCATTATTAAATGTTAATAAACGACTTGATCAAATGGTAAGAAGTGTTAACAATACTAAATTCTTAAACTTTTCAATGAATAATGTTCAACTTAATCGATTTTGTTGTGAAATATTACCTCAAATACATCAAAACATTGTATCACTTACTCTTGAAATATTTTCTATGGAACGTATTCTTCTTGCTTGCGAATATCCTAATCTTACTATTATTGTTTTGACCAATTTTTTGCCAGATATTCTTTTACAATATTTAACAGGTAAATAAAACGTTTTTTATTCATAATTATGAATACCTATTTAATCATATGATTAGATGAATCGCCAATTTTTCGTTTGTTGCAACAACAGATAAAACATCTAACTGTTAAGTGCGACAAACAATTGGTTATTAATCATTCATTTACAGATGTATGTGTACGTATACTTGCCATCTGTAGAAATTTGTCGTACTTAAATGTGCATCAATGGTTAATAACCAATCATGCCTGCCTTTCAATCCGTGATCGACCTCCAAATGTTTGTCTTTCTTCAAATTTACACACTTTGTCTATTAGTGTGGATACCTTTGATGATTGCCTTTGTCTACTTGATGGTCGTCTAGAACAATTACGTTCTTTCACAGTACGTATTTATTTTATTATAAGATCAAGAATGAATAATAATAATCAAGTAAGCGAATTATTTTGTTCGAATATAATTAATCTATTCTTTTCTTGTTTAACAGACAACTTTATGTAATCTCAAAGAATTCTCATTAATTAGCTATTTACACACAACCGCTTATGATTGTCGAATATTACCACTTCTTCGTCGAATGCCGAATTTAAAAACTCTCACTTTCGGTCTCAATATAGTGCGATTAACTGTTATTGATAGTTTATATCTTAATGAAGAACTTCTTATTCATATGAAATATTTAAATAAGTTTATATTTCATATTTGTACTGTTTTACCAGATTTTGAAGCGAATTATTTCTTAACAACGAATGATATTAAAAATACATTTCTTAATTGGAAATATTCTTCAGTTAGTTGTTGTATCGATCATTTTTCAGACGGATATAGTTATTATCATATTTATTCGACACCATTTCAAATGACTGATTTTATGTGTCTTTCAAATAGTTTTTGTGGTCAAGATTTCTTCTATGTTACTAATTTATGGTTATTTGATACACGTCCATTTGAACATGATTTTTTCGAATGGCTATCACAAGCATGTCCATTACTCCAAGATTTACTCATTGCCAATTCAATATCACAGAAAGATAAACGTCAAGTTGCAATAATTAATGATAAACAAATCTTCTCAAAAATTTCATATTTACATTTATCTTGACTTTGTCTTTTCCTTGCACATATTGATTATGTTGATCAGTTTCTATGTTATACAAATATGTATTTACCAACTCTTCACACACTTTCAATACAATATGATAAATTAGTTGCTGTCACAGATAATTTTACAAATGATGCAAAACAAACCAATTGTAGTGAAATCAAACAAATCGTATTTTATCAATTGCTAGTCTTAACAAAAGATTTTTATAATTATTTTCCTTGTTTATAAAAAATAGATTAATTCAATATTTGTAATATATTAGTTAGATAGGACATAACCCATGTAAAAATGTATTACTGTTTAACGCTCATTAATTCGTTATAGATCGTTGAATACTGCATCTTTTTCGTTCGTGAAATAGTTTCTTCCATTTTTGGAATATGTTTGAAATTGCTATTGTTCAGTCAGATTTCATCAACTGATTAGTCTTAAGACTAGTGAAAATATTAATTAGTTCAAGACATGTGTTTATTGTAAGGAAGTAAAGATAAACTTTGTCACATACTAAGAGCATTCTTCAAAATTTGAAAAACAGTAAAAAAAAACCTTGAGTGGACTTTTTTCTCTAGTAAACGCATTTTTCAACTATTTTGTAGGTTTGGGTGTGGATGCGTATGTTTCTTATTTATGCCACACACACATCCACACGAAAATAGATCAATGTCCGTTCCTAGACCCTATTCGTACAGTCTAGGAAATGGATAAATCCATTAGTAAATAGAACAGGAAAACCATACACAAAACTAAAGACCCATCTTGAGGGTGTAGGTACTTATCTCATATCCACACTCACACCCTCAAGGTTCCACAAAATCTTCCAAAGCATTAAATGAAATTCAGATTTCTACGATAGATTACAAGTAGTTTGAATACTCCGGAGTGAAATCAAAAATAGGCAAAATAATAATAATAAATTAAACAAACGAAAATCCATGACAAGCGAATAGCAACGTAGTATCTTAAGAAAGAGCGTGCCATTCAAAACAAATAAGAGAAAAAAAAATTTATCCGAAATACAGAAATGAATAAGACAAGCGATTTACTGACAACTTATCATTAATTGAAGAGCAATTATCAACTGTTAGACTTTTGCCGCTCAAATCATTTTATATGAGAATAATGTATCTGAAGACGATGTATGGATTCTACTTTTTAGCTCCAAAGGAGCTGCACTGATAGGCTTCTTTTTATCTTTCAAAAACATTAAATAATTCACTCTTCGTCATTTCCTTGCCACATGGATGAAGGAAGATAAGACACATCATTTTTTTTCATCACTGCATACATAATCTATGTATGTATGTATGCATACTTATTGTTGTTCGACAAAAACAGTTATAATGTATCATGAAACAGAATGAATAAAAATTAGGACGACAAATTTTATAACTATTCAATTCCCCATGGGAAGATTTTTCTTGTTCTCTTATATTAAGTGAAGCTCTGATAAGGGAAATACTCATATATTCTCACTCAATACGCTATGCATTCGGTGGGAAAATTACATTTTTGTCTAAAACTTCTATATAATATATAATGTTTCAATTATATATACTGATTTACTCGTTATTTTAACAAAACAAATTGATGCAGACCCATTCAGAAGCAAACACTTTGTGTACTCCTTTACATCGAAGGTAGGTTTGATATAAGAGTGATCTTTCGAATGGATTTATAATATCTCGTATCATTTCAGTCGGTCATCTCGATTCTTTGGTATAATTATCATTCTGTTATTGATTTTTCTTATCGCAATACTCGTTCTATACGGAATTGAAATAAACAAAACAAAAGGTACGTATACATGAATTCTATGCAAGTTTAATTCAATACTATTTTTAGTAGAAAATACTAGCGATTTATGTTTAACTCCGTATTGCATCAAAGCAGGTCAGTGAATTTTGTCACACTAGTAAAAATTATTTTATGTTTTAAGCAAATTCTCTGATCGAAAGTATTGACGAGACAATCGATCCATGTGAAAACTTCTATGAGTTTGCTTGTGGAAAATATATTAAAAATGCCATAATATCATCGGAAAGTGAGTACAAGAAGAATTATAAAACAAATTAATTCTATACTTTATCATTTGCAGGTAGTGAACAGAGTCCAACAACACAAATAGCAAAAAACTTAGGGCATACATTTGCCGGTACGATATATTATTCTTGTGTTTTATATATTCTCTCTCGTTTTTCGAAGATTTGTTATCATCGTCACCATCAAATAGAACAAAGAAGTTCAAAGCAATTACTAATGCTCGTCGTTTATATAGTTCTTGTATAGACGAAGATACTATCGAAATGGAAAATGTTGATGTAATAATGGCAATGATCAATAAAGAGCTTGGAGGATGGCCTGTCTTGCAAGGCTTAGCCTGGGATGAATCAACGTTTGATTTCGATCGATTGATGCTCAAATTAAGTCAATACAATAACTACATATTTTATACTGTAAACACAGATGTTGATGAGAAGAATTCATCAGTTCGAAGTATTTATGTAAGACTCAATAGTTTAAATTATTGCTAATAAATATTTAACTTGTAGATTATACCCTCTGAACTGGCTACAGACAATTCTATTCACTATTCCTATGAAATCAAATCACTGGAGGCTTACAAGTATTTATTTTTAAATTTTACTCGATCATTGACCAATAATCCATCGACAATCCCTAATGACTTTCTTACTTTATACAAATTCGAAAGCGAACTTTACGAAGTAAATTTCTTTTCTCAAGTAGACTTCCTGTTTTACTTCTTTTACATAGTACTATAAGGTGCAAGACCGACTAGGTCATCACGAAACTGTTTGCACAACACTCGGTAATCTTTCACATACAATCAATGTCAGCGTAAGTGTCAACTTTCTCCTTTTCTTTCTTCATCTTTTTATTCAGTTCGATTCTTCTAACTATATTCGTCGCTTGTATCTGTTGGCTAACGTCTCTGTGATGGATACAGACATTGTAATTGTGACTGCACCCAAATTTTTGGATGGTATTTCGTCAATTATTAATCAACAATCACCGCGTACCATACAAAATTATATGATATGGAAATTCATCATAAATCAAGCTGGGCATATGCCAAGACGATTTCGAAATATTGTGCAACAATTTAATCATGTGATTCTTGGCACAAGTACTGCAGAGTCACGTACAATTACATGTGCCAATTATGTTAATACAGTAATGGGCTTGCCGGTTTCAAAACTCTACATCGATGAATATTTTGATAAGAATACTCGAAAAGAAGTAATAAGAATATAATTCGATAATAGAAAATATTTACCTATTATGATTTTGATAGACAACTGAAATGATCAACAATATTCGAAATACCTTCATCACGATGGTCAACCGATCGACATGGATGGATTCCAAATCGAAAATTATAGCGATTAAAAAAGTAAGACATTCATTCGATCAATTTTGTATTGACAATAAAATAATTTTTTCTATAGGCTCGAGCTATTAAAGCAAAACTTGGTTATCCTGATTATTTAGAGAGTGATGATATGACGAAACTTGATAAGGACTTTGCTGAGGTACGATATAGAATGAAAATCTCTTATTCTTCTTTTTATTTCAAATCTAGTATAATTTCAATTTATCTTATATGCCGAATGTTCTGAGTGCCATGCAACTACATTCCAAAGCAAGTCTTCAAATGCTTCGTTATCCTATCGATAGTAAAGAATGGAGTGATATCTTGCCCACAAATGTCAATGCCATACATAGATTATCAGCGAACGAGATCTGTATGAAAGAGTCTCTAACAATAAACAAATGCTATCGTCGTTTTTTCTTTAGTGTTTCCAGCTGCCATACTTCAAACACCTTTATTCGACAAAGATGCACCAAAGTAAAACGTCATTTTCTCATATTATCATAATATCCTTCATATCTTTGATAGGTATCTCAACTATGGTGGTAAGGATAGATTCAAAGAGAAAAAAGAAACAGAAAAATAATATTAAATTTAGGTATTGGCTATATTATGGGACATGAGATTGCACATGGATTTGGTGATGAAGGGAAAGCATATGATCTGAATGGAAACAAAGTTTCATGGTGGACTAATGCGACTGTCAACGCATTTAACATACGTAAAAACTGTATCGTCGAACAATACAACAACTATACTTTGGCTCAGGTCAATCTTACGGTATTTCTTTCTTTTATTTTTGATTTATTCAAACATAAAATCTTTTTCATTTAGGTAAATGGACAAAAAACAAAAGATGAAAACATCGCCGACGATGCAGGACTCAAACAGGCTTTTTTCGTAAGTTTTATCTTCCACTAATTCAAGAGTTAAACCTAAAGATATTATAAAGGCATATCAGCAATGGGCTAAGACTCATAAAAATGTTGACAAGAAACTTCCCGGTTTAACCAAATATTCAACAGAACAAATGTTCTTTATGAACTTTGGTCATACATGGTGTACGAAAATGACAAATGAAGCTGCGCACTCCTATATTAACAGAGAGGTGCACTCACCTGAACAATTTAGGTAAAGTTATTTTTATACGTCAGTCTGTGCTATCATAAATGATTTATGTTTCTAGAGTACGTGGTCCCACCTCGAATTTTGTTGAATTCAATCGAGTATTCGGCTGCATAACAGGTCAAGGCAATAGTCGAGTGAACAAGTGCAACGTATGGTAGTGGCTTTATAGCACTTTCTCAATCAATTACATCGAATATATATATATATGCACTTGTACAAGGCTTTTTTCTCTCATTTTTTGTTTTATTATCTGTGGGTGTCGATTTATAAATTAACATAACATCTACACCCACATTAAATAAAAATAAGAACAACTTATATTTTTGCAGAGTATGATGTTTCTCTTTGCATATTATCATAAAAAAATATTCCATTTTCTTTAAAATACGAAACACAAATTCAACATGATAAAAATTATCAATTGAATACAACAAAATCTATTAAGCGAATAACTTTTTTTAAAAATTGACAAATAGATTAAAATTCTTGTTAGCCAAACTAATTTTCAGACAAATCTTATTTTATTATTTCAACTACAAAATATAAAATTTTCTTGCTTTTTTTTCTAATTATATTTGACGTTTAGTAATATTTGCTAATAAACCATATTTTGTTCTTAAAAGTTATTTTAACTTCTGGAATTATTTTTTGTCCAGGTATTAATTTAAAACTGCATTGTTGTACAAGCATAGCTAACATGCCTTTTACTTCTAATAATGCAAAAAATTTTGTCCAATACAATTTCGTGAACCAGCAGCAGAAGGAAGATAAGCAAATGAATGAACTAATTTTGGTTTAAGATCATTTTTTGAATCGCGAAACCAACGAGTAGAATCAACGTTATGGGTTTTCTTTTCATTCTACACCCACACCCTCACCCACATCCTTGAAATTATTTCCAACTTTCTTCACCTTATTTAGTTTTCATTTTTCAATCTTGTTTCGTGATGAAACACTAAAAATCCATTTGATCAAAAATAAAACGTGTTTTTTTCTTCTCTTCTTAACTTGAAGTTTTACTAGCGAGAAAAAAATTCTTTTTCGATTTCTTCAACTACCGAACAATACTTCTATTATCGTTGAGTCATTAAGTTTGTGTTTATAGAGGTGAATAAAGAGATTATTCATTTCATTTATAAATTTCTATTCAAAGAAATGGCAATGGCAAATAACAAAACACTATGTTCTATATGTAATAAAGACAAAATAACATATCCTTGTAAAGGATGTTCAAAAGAATTTTGTTTAATGGATTTAACAGAACATCGTCAAATATTAAATGCTGAATTACATCGTGTCACTAATGAATATAATGAATTTAAACAAAGAATTAATGAACAAAAACAAAATCCACATAATCATTCATTAATAAAACAAATTGATCAATGGGAAATAAATTCAATTAAAAAAATTCAACAAAAAGCACAAGAGTACAGAAAAATCATCACAAACATGTATCAATGATATTGAAATGAAATTTAAAGACTTGAATGAACAAATAAAACAAATTCATAAAGAAAATGAGTTTAATGAAATTAGTTTAGAATATTTAACAAACCAATTGATGAAAATAACACAAGAATTAAATAATTTATCAAATATGTCTATTCAACAAAATTTGCAACCGTTTATTAATCAAATTTCGATTATTATAACAGAAAGTAAGTTTCTCAAAAAATAATTCTTACTTTCTATAAAATTATGCTAAAAAACTATAAAAACAAAGAAACGTGATGACGAAGAAGTTAAAACAATTCGATTTATTTATTAATTAAATCAATAATAATACTAGTCAGAAAAATATAAAGTTTAATTTGTTTTTATGTAAAAAAGAATTATAAAATATAAAATAATATTAAATTATATAAAAAATTTTCCTTAAAGACTCAAAAGATATATTTGATTGATAAGAACAAAATTGAATTAATTTCAAATTTTTATTCAATAAAAAATGAATCAACAAAATCTTTTTCTCTTTTCAATTAAATATTGATCAATTTGTTTCATAAATAAATTATCTTTCAATAAAAATATTCTTTTTCTCCTAAATTTCGATTCGAAAAACAATAAATTTCAAATTTTTTTTTTCAAAACAAAATATTTCTTCATTTTGTTTTACGAAATTTTATTCAAAAAAATACTCAAAGATTTTTTCCTTTCAAAAAAATTTATTTTTATTTTTCAAATACAGAACTTCAAATGTTTTTATTCTTTTTCAGTAGAATTTTTTTCGAAATTTAACAAAAAATATCAAATAAAATTTGTCTTTTCATTATACATTTTTATCAATATTCTATTCAAAATTCAACTTTAACAAAAAAACAAACTCAAAATTTTATTGAAAACTAATCTTTTCTTTTTTTCTATAAAAACAAAATTTTCTTATTCCTTTCATCAAAGTCTCATTTTTTCATCATTTTCTAGAACCAAAATTCAATAAATGGAAGCAAAATGCCATCACTGTGGCTGCTGGAAATGAATGTGGACATGAACTAAATCAACTTAATCTTCCTTTTGCAATGTTTATTGATAAAAAGAAAAATATTTTCATAGCCGATTTTCAGAATCATCGTATCGTTGAATGGAAAAGTAATGCAAAAGAAGGACAAATTACTGCAGGTGGAAATAACGCAGGATATCGAATGGATCAATTACATTATCCAAGAGATGTGATTGTTGATCAACAAAATCATTCGGTCATCATTGCTGATTCTGAGAATAGAAGAGTGATTCAATGGTCGAGACAGAATTAACAAATTCTAATTGATAATATTGACTGTTATGGATTGGCAATGGATAAACATGGATTTCTTTATGTTTCTGATGCTGGGAAGAATGAAGTGAGACGATGGAAGATGGGAGAATATAACAATGAAGGAATTGTAGTAGCAGGTGGACATGGCGAAGGAGATCAACTTAATCAACTTGATTCGTCTAGTTTTATCTTTGTTGATGAAGATCAATCTGTTTATATATCAGATAATAACAATAATCGTGTGATGAAATGAAGAAAAGATGCAAAAGAAGGAAGAATTGTGGCTGGAGGAAATGGTGAAGGAGAAAATCTCAATCAATTGTCTAATCCTCAAGGAGTAATTGTTGATCATTTGGGTCAGATCTATGTAGCAGATTGTGGGAATGATAGACTAATTCGTTGGTATGAAAGAAAAGAAGAAGGTGGAATTGTTGTTGGTGGAAATGGTCATGGAAATCAATCAGATCAATTGAATTGTCCCATGGGTTTATCTTTTGATGCTGAAGGAAATCTATACGTTACTGATAGTTGGAATCATAGAGTTGAAAGATTTGAAATAATTTTGTGAATGAAATTTTGATTCTGAAATAAAGAAAAGAATTTTTTTATTGAATTAAAAAATTGAGAAATAAAAATAGAATAAAAGATCAAGTTTTATTATTGAAAATTGAGTTTGGTTGAACAAAACAAATGTTGAGAAGATTTTTATTTAATAAATTAACAAATTTTATCATTTTGCAATTTAATCTTTTTTAATTTGAGGAAACTTTGGATAAAAATGCAATTAGACATGAACAGTCTCAAGATGTTTTTGCTCAAAGATGATATCTTAGAACAGTACGTATGAAATGTGTTCGTACAGAAAATAAGTATTCTGAACATTCTGATTAATAATAAAAAAGATTTAATAAATAAATCATTTTTTTTTATTTATTCTTTTAGAAATGCATTTACCATAAAAATACAAACTAATTAACAATACAATAATTGGAAAATAATATTAAAATCTTTATATTAGTGATGTATCATTAGACAATTGACCAACACTGAAAACAATCATTGTATTTGAATGATAGATAAATAATTAAACATTGAGATACATACAAAATAAAATATTCAATTTTTAAAATGAATACTAAAATTCTGTTGGGGTTATTTAGTAATATATATACCATTTAACCTATGTTTCATGTCTATAAACTACTTGAATATCAACGGAAATGTTTCATACCGTCAAATTGAATTTTATAAAAATATTCCGAGAAAAATTTATGTAATTTTTTTGTAATTTATAATGCAAACTCGTCGATTGTCTTTTTTTCTATTCATGATTATAGTCGACTAAATTGAAACTACATAAAGAAGGTGTATAATATACGAAGAAGGAAATTAAAGTTTGAGTAAGTGTATTCTTAAATAATGGGATCCATATGGTAGATAGATAAAAATTAATAGTGACGTATTCTTTTTCATCTTCTATAGGAAATTTAATCATTTAAAGAAACAAAATTTGTGTTATTGTATTATACGTTCTTCATCTGATTCCGGATGTTTTTTCTATGTTGTCGTCTACCACTTGTCATTCGTTTATTCTTAGAATTAATTATAACCATTATTGTGATTCATGAAGAAAACGGACGTCTGAAGATAAGAAGTGAGTCTCTACAAATCGAAGTTCATTTAGTTTTTTTCTGTTTTCATAGAGAACAAAAAAGAATGTGAGAGAATTTCTTTGCACCTTCTCGTACTCTCTCATTGTTTTCACTTATTATTTGTCTTTTTTAAATTTTACTGTAAAAAAAAGCCGTTCACTATGTTCATGATATGATAAAATTACCTTTTAACTTTTATTCTCTTTGTTTTAGAAAGTATTTCAGTTGTTAAACATATTCTAAGTCATTACTTAGTCAACAAAGTTTAAAGGTAAGTGTTTCATTGTGAAGTGAGAACTGACTTTGAAATGGCGTAATAAAAAATATCAGTCGTCTTCATCTCACTCTTGTAATAACATTTAATTTATTTTGTACGTTTAAGGAATCTTCAGATTACTAACTTTTCAACATATATTTTTTCGTTGTTATTTGTTTACTATTTGAAGATTAGGCAGACTTAATTACTATTGGTTTCACATTAAATTAATATTTTTATTAATGAAATTCATTGATGTGAATGAAATAATTTGAAAGAACGTCATTCGAAGATACGAGAAACTAATTAACCCTTTGAAACCCACAATTTAATCTATGGACGAAACCTCTTAAAAACTTGATATTTTGTATGAGCATTGAGTATTATCGACACTTCCATTGATACTTTAAAAAAATATTTTAAGTCATTTTTAACTTTTAGCCGTACTCCCCTACGGGAATGATAAGAAATATTTTAGCCACTTCCTTGTAGGCATACGAACGGGAGCCTAAAAACTGCCTCAGTACGATTTTTAATCTCGCACAGATATGTCTTAACTACGAAAATTTGTTAAATATATTCGAAATTTTTTGAAAACTAGAATTTTTCGCTAGGTGGGACATATATGTCGCACTGGGGCTCAAAGGGTTAATGAGCTTTTTGTATGATGATTGGTAAGTTAGTCAACTGATTCTGTTCGATTGTTCAGACTATTTGAACTTTTTATTGTAAGCTTCTTCATATTTTCTACACTCACTCATTTACAGATCACATATTCCATTTATCTTTTTTAATTAAATAGCATAGCTATTTATAAAAATGTGCACAACTATTAAATTATTTTAAGTAGCTGGCTGCTTTTCTATAGTATTTTTGATCTGTTCTTTTACTAGGTGACTAACGGTAGAAAATCTGTAAGTTTCTTTTTTCACAAACAAGTATCATAAAATAATATACATTAAAAAATCAAGTTTTGTTGCGAATGAAGTAGATATTTGAATAATATTTTTTTCTGACCCCTGCTCGAAAGAAACATAGTAACTTTAAATAAATACATTACAATTATTTAACTAGCTACACGATGTTTATAAAAGAATGATATATTAAAAATCAACAACGATTTAAATAGCTATGCATCGGAAGATAATGAGAAGATTAAATAGCTAATGAGCAGAAGTGTAATACATAGTCTTCTTTGTTATTTTTCACAGCTCGTTTATATAACAAAAAATGTATCCCTTCTAAAAATAAACCGATTTATTAAATAAAGGTTAAATTTCATTGAATGCGAACAGTAACCTTTTTTAGATAATTTGGTACTTGTCACATGTCGTCAAAAACTCCGTTAACTCAAGGTGATGGATATGGAATTCTTATTGGTTTCGGAACGATCTTTGCTATGGGAATGATTGGAATGACAATTTGTTTGCATCGATATCTTGGTGAAGCAACAGATTCGAGTGAAACATTTTCGACAGCTGATCGAAAAGTACGAACAGGTTTAATTGCTTCTTCTGTCGTTTCATCATGGACATGGGCTGCTACTCTATTACATTCGAGTTCAGTAGCATATTCGTACGGTATATCAGGAGCTTTTTGGTATGCAAGTGGAGCGACAGTACAAATTGTTCTATTTTGTGTTGTTGCTATTAAATTAAAACGTCGAGCACCATTTGCACATACATTCTTAGAAGTAATTCATGCTCGATATGGTCGATCAGCTCATATTGTTTTTATTATCTTTTGTCTAGTGACAAATATTACTGTTACATCAACATTATTAACAGGTACATCAGCTGTTGTTCATTCTTTGAGTGGAATGAACATTGCAGCTGCTTGTTTTCTTCTGCCTTTGGGAACGATTATTTATACGATGGTAGGTGGACTCAAAGCTACTTTTCTTACCGATTATATACATACAGTAGCTGTTCTAATTATTATTTTATTTTTTGCATTTATCACTTATGTCACATCACCCGTACTTGGCTCACCTTCTAAAGTCTATGATTTACTTGTCAATGCGAGTCAAATTCATCCGGTTGATGGAAATGCTGAAGGTTCGTATTTAACGATGCAATCGAAACAAGGTGCGATATTTTTTATTATCAATATTATTGGAAATTTTGGAACTGTTTTTCTTGACAATGGATATTATAATAAAGCAATTGCTGCTTCACCAATATCTGCTCTACCTGGTTATGTTTTGGGTGGAATTGCGTGGTTCGGTATTCCTTTTCTTATCGCTACTACGATGGGACTCACCGCTGTTGCACTAGAAAACAATCCAATATTTCCAACATATCCAAATCGATTAAGTGCAGCTGATGTATCAGCTGGTTTAACTTTATCAACAGCTGCAGTAGCTCTTATTGGAAAAAGTGGAGCAATAGCTACTTTGATCATGATTTTTATGGCATGTACGAGTGCTATGTCTGCTCAACTAATTGCAGTGAGTTCCATAGTTACTTATGATATTTATAAAGCTTATTTCAATCAAACGGCAAGTGGAAAGAAATTGATTTATGTTTCTCATATGACTGTCGTTTTATTTGGGCTCGGAATGAGTATATGGTCAATTGCATTGTATTATATTGAGATCAGCATGGGATATTTGTATTCAATGATGGGTATCATTATTTCTAGTGCTGTTATTCCAGGTGCATTGACTCTTCTTTGGAATAGACAGAGTAAATGGGCTGTCTGTCTTTCTCCTCCATTAGGTTTTATTTGCTCTGTATCTGCATGGTTAGTTGTGACTAAAATTCAATTTAATTCAGTTAGTATTGAAACAACTGGATCAGATGTATCGATGCTTGTTGGAAATGTAGTCGCTTTACTCTCTCCGATCGTATTCGTACCCATTATTTCGTTTATTGCACCTGATCCAGCACGTTATGACTTCGTTTCGATGAGAGCAATTGAATTAGTTGATGATGGTCCAAGAAACACTCGTCATCCGTCTCTCGGAGAAACAGAACGTGGAATTGTTTTTTTGACAGGAAAATTAAAATTTGCACGTATTATAGCTGTCGTTCTCACATCGTGTCTCGTCATTATTTTGCCATTTCCCATGTATGGAACTGCATATGTCTTTAGTAAATCTTTCTTTACCGGTTGGGTTAGTATTGGAATTATTTGGATGTTTTTTTCATTCTGTATTGTCGGAATTTATCCAATTGTTGAAAATCGTAAGACAATTCTATTCGTCTGCAAGAAAATCTATAACGATTTAACAAAAAGCAGACAACACACCACCGAAGTGCAGACGAACCATACCATTTCCAATACGCAAATGAACGTTTTAGCAGTATCAACGATTGACAATTCTCATAACGATATTTAATGATTTTATCTGATGAATGTATAGAAAACTGTTGTAGTTTTATGAGTCTTTATATAATCATTATAATAAACTACTATCGGTACTTCTCTGTTTCTTGAGGGTGTGGATGTGGGTATTTTATTTCATCTACACCTACGCTTTAGATGTTCAATACCTCATTCAAGTCTCTTGGTAGTCTAAAATTATCGCTAATCCACGATTCGCCGCACTTATGTCTCAGTCCAATCTTAGTATGGACGTATATTCTATATTTTATCTAAGAGTGACCTGAAGAAATGTTCGTCCAATATGGGGTTCAATATATAGGACGCGTCTAA